CGTTAGCAGATGTGTTCTGTGCTTTCAGACAGGAAAAAGGACCTGAGTAAGATGAAGAGCTTGCTGAACATCCTCACTGATCCAACCATCAGGTAACGTCTGTTTGCATCATGGCCGTGTCACACAAAGGGACGAGACAGAATCAGCTGATCGATCAATGACATCATTGTCTGGCTGGTTGGAGCTGTGCCTGAATCTGTGTGTTTAGGACTTTAGTAGGACCTACAGGTCCATCTGTCTTCAGCATCTTCATCATTTCATCATCTATGGTTCAGGATGAGAAGCTGCTTCTTTACCAGCGGAGGCTGGAACCGTTTCTCTTGGTTCTTCTGATGTTTGTCTCGTGGTCTGACCTACAGATGTCCTCTGAAGACGCTGGAGAAATGTGAGATTGCTTTAGAAAAGCTGAAGAACGATATGGCCGTGGTAAGAAGAGCTCCTCATCACGTCTTGCTCTATCCAGCGTTAAAGCTGGTGATATTTAGCTCCAGTCTCTCTAGACTGACACAACTGGCTCATCCCTTGAGTTAAATCCCTTTTTCTAGCTGAATGGTCCAAATGCAGGAATGAGTGACACTGAGAGAAAAAAAATCTGACAAAATCCAAAGAAACACCCGGGAAGACTCCTGGATGAGGGTTTTAAACCAGATGAGATCATGGCTTAGACATCTACCAGAACCAGCCTCATGAGTATCGTTTCCGTTGCAGCCAACTCCGCCTCCTCCGCCCATTCCTACCAAGCAGCAGTATCTCTGCCAGCCGCTGCTCGATGCTGTCATGACCAACATCCGCTCTCCAGTCTTCAACCACTCCCTGTACCGGACGTTCGCCCCCGCCATGAGCGCCATCCACGGGCCACCCATCCTGTAGGTACCACTCAAGGGATTACAGTAGCTCCTGTTGCCCCCCATGCAGCATTTAACTCTCTGCTGCTCAGGGGGCCCAACATCTCTGGGAGGAAGAGGAAGCATGAGGAGGACGAGCGACAGACCATCCCCAACATTCTACAGGGGGAGGTGGCCCGCCTCGACATAAAGTTTCTGGTCAACCTTGACCCCTCGTTCTGCAGCAACAACGGCACCGTGCACCTCATCTGCAAGTTGGGTGAGTGGCTGAGCGCCATCAGCTGCACCGACCTCAGCTCAGTCCAGTCAGAAAACGATGCGCTGAGGAGGAGTTTTGTTACTAAGACTGTCGGAAGGTTCTCAGTCCTCCAGGTCATCGTAGTCTAAGGAGCTTTGAAAGAAAAGCGTCTGGACTTCTTTGAGTTGCTCGAAGACGTTTCACCTCTCATCCGAGAGGCTTCTTCGTTCTGAAGAAGAAGTCCAGACGCTTTTTCTTTCAAAGCTCCTTAGACGTTACTAAGACTGCTTTCTACAAAGTAACCTTTAAAATAACCAGAGGAAGAAATTTCATTCACATCAAGGCAAAACAGTAACTTGGGTCTACAGGTGGCAGCAGTCATGTTTGAAAGTGATCCAGCTGTGAGCAGCAGTTAGCTCCGACTGCTGCAGGAACCACACTGATGGACCAGGACAGCTGGAAACCTTCTGAACCTCATGTTGTATCCTGGAGTCATTCTCACTCTGTTGTTGTTTGTGTCTCAGATGATAAAAACCTTCCCAGCGTTCCTCCTCTGCAGCTCAGTATTCCTGCCGACTATCCGGATCAGAGCCCATACTGGGATGATGATGGCGAGCAGTACGGTGAGAAGAATCCACATCCTAAACACACAAAACTCTGCTACCCTCCAGTGTCTCACCAAGACAGAAAAATAGGCACGTGTGGTAAATGACCTGCACCTGTGTAGTGCCTTACTGAGTCACAGGACTCCAGAGTGCTTTACACTAGAGTCATTCATCCATTTACCCACTGATGGTATCCTGGGGCACACTGACACAATCGGTGCCACCAGTGTCTTGCCCAAGGACACAGCAACTGGCACAAGTGGAGCCTGGGTTGGAACCACCCACCCAGCAGCAGTCTCCTTCAGCCTCCAGAGGTTCTGAGGTTTAAGTTGGACTGTCGGCTTTAGTCATTCTCATAAAAAGTTGTGTTTATCAAATAATTTGACTGTTTTTCTGCTTGAGAATCAGTTTTATAAAATTAAGTTACAGAAGAAAGCCTCAGTTCTCAGGTTATATCCTTAAAAAATCCATTCATGATCCAAGTATTAAATCTCTGTTGTTTTCTAATTAACTAAATCTGATATTAACAGTTTCAGTGTTTCCCCTAGGAATTTTTCCAGCTGTGGCGGGGGGGCTTGGGGATAAATTATGACACGTCTCTAAAACCCTTTTCAGATAGACATTCTGGAATATGTGTGGACAATTCAATCCGGTTTTTAACTGGAACTATGTTTTCAGACACTCAATAAAGTAAATTTTTCTAGTGCAGAGAGGAGACAACCCATAGAAGCACTGATTTGATCTCATTTCAGAGACAAATAGAACAGGTCAGATGCACCTAATAAATAAAATTACTAACATAAACTCAGGAATCTGTTTCTTTGCTTCACTGTTCTGGTGCTGAAAACATCACTAATGCGGATCGAAGGAGATACACAGATAAACGCACCTCTTATCTAGTCTAGTGAACTAGACCAAATTCTTGCTTTGCAAAGTTTGGTCTAGGCACGCTCCACTGGAACCTCCGCAGCTCCTACCAGGACTCTGGCTGGCCAATCACAGCTCTCTAGAGGGGTTTCAAACACATAAAGAGCTGTGATTGGTCCATAATGGTGGGCCAATCATAGTGCAGGAGGGAGCGGTAAAATACAGGGGGTCCTCAGCAAAAACAAGAAACTACGAGTCTGATGAAACTCGCTGGTTTTCTATCAGGCAGTCACGGGGCAGCTCCAACGACCCAGTGGCTGTGCTGGGTCAGTTATCGAGCCCAGTTGGATGAATGAGCCGAGACGACGTCGTGCTCTGCTTAAGAAGAAGCGTTATTTTCCCGCTTCAGAAGAAGCATCCAACGTGTTTTTACACTTTCTCCGAGACATGTCACGTCGCTAAGTTGTTAGCGCCGCGCGCTAACACGTCAATAGTGCAGCGTAGCCTGCTGGAGGTTATAAGGGTTCAGATGAAAACACCCGACCTCTCAGGCTGCTCACAAATCGATCTTAAGTTGTCGCTGTTGCGCTCACGCCGTAATACAGTATTAGATGCGGTTAAAGTCAGACATGAAAAAATAAATAAATTTTACATGAATAAGTGATGCTTAGCCTGGTGGGGGGAGGAGAACCTGGCCTAATAAGCACGGGAGGAAACCCTGTCAAGATCGTCAACACTCGTTTATCTTAATGCTGTTGAAACATGTAAACCAAAAAGCATTATATCCACTGCTACCTTTCTAATTTTAAACTCAGTAACTTATGCTGTAACTTCACCTTGCCCTGCCTGCTCCTCCTTGCTGCCCGCCGGCTGTGATCACAAGCGACAACATAGTAGTTCCCGCTGCTTCTTCGGGAAACGGCGCAAAAACAAAACAAAAAAAAACTTGGGATCTTGTGGGCGTGGCGGTGGGATTTCAGCCTACGCCTATGTAAGGGAAACCCTGAGTTTAACAAGCTTCTCAGCAAATTAGGGCAAAATAATATCTGCAGCTTGATGTCTGGTTCTGTTCTGGGAACAGTCCTGGTCCTGCAGCTCAGTGGATTTTAAACGGATTCAAGTCTTCAACCATATCCTTCATTATTTTATGCTGAGAATTTAAGATTAAACAAAAATAGTTCTGATGATTCAGGTCATAATCCAGAGTCCTTGGCCTGTTTACAGACTCGGTTGTTAAATGTAAAGCTGCCCCAGAATAAACACTTTTGGTTCCATAAGTAATTAAATAACATGAGACCAATGAGGTCCTTATACCAGAACCAGTTAACGGGTCTAGTTGAGCTCAAACAGATCCTGATTTTTGATGCTGAAAACTCAACGCAGTCGGCTGAGCAGGGATCAGATGTTAACGTGGCTTTTGTTCCTCAGGTGTGAACAGTTTCCTACAGACGGTCCACAGGAACATGACATCCAAACTGCTGCAGCTGCCAGACAAACACTCTGTGACAGAGCTGCTAACCACCTGGGTTCAGAGTGTCCGCCAAGCTTGTCTGTCTGCAGCTTGAAGCCCCTGCCTACTTGAGGCCACGCCCATCCAAAGTGACTCACACTGCATATGACACTACCTTCATTTCACGTTCTGACATGAACAGCTCTGCAGACGTTCAGTATGCTGCTGGTTTCCTGAATGCATCATGGTTTTGGCTCTCTCAGCGCTGGTAAAACAGATTTGCCTCCTGAATAAATGTGTTTTGTTTTTTTTTTGTAATAAATTTTGTTCTAAGCCTTACATCTATTTGTCATTTGTTTCTTCTTAACATGAATTTTACTTTTACTTTTGTACACTTAGACATGAACTCCTAAATCCAGTCATGGGTTAGAACTAAAGTACACAAGTTTCTTTAACCCATCATTGACAACTGAGTTTCTGTCCACAAGTGGTTTCATCACTTTGGTCTTTGACATATTGTTGGCTTTTTGATTTCAATCAGTCAATCAATCAAATTTTATTTCTAAAGCGCTTTTCAAACAAAGTGTGATTCAAAGTGCTTTACAAAATGACCCCAGATTCCCATAACAGGTTAAAAACATTAACAAACATATGCAAGCACACTCACACACACACAGACTCGCACACACACAAGTAAAAATTATATTAGGCTGAGTCTAGATGAGCCAAGTATGGTAACACAAGGAAACGCCATCAGAGGAGCCGTCTGCCCCGGCAGCATCAGGTCTTCCACACTTAAGTCTCAGTGGAGGGGGAGCATAGACCCCCACCTATAGAGCGCCCAGGAAGCTACAGTCGACCACCGCTCCCGGGGCAGAGGGCCCCCACAGAGGAAACACTGGATTAAAATGAGTAAAAATGTGATAAAAGAGCTAATATAAATGACAAAAGTTAGAAAATAAGTAATAAATAAAATGATATAGACAGTAAAATAATAATTTAAATAATAAAACTGTGCTAAAATATAATTATATAGAACATGCAAAGCAAGTAATAAAATATAATCATGTAAAACGAGAAATAAAACTAGTAAATATTTAGATAAAAGCTAACCTAAAAAGATGGGTCTTGAGTCTTGACTTAAAAACATGAACGTTCTCTGCGGCCCTGAGGTCCTCTGGCAGCTCGTTCCAGAGGCGAGGGCCATAACACTGGAAGGACGCCTCGCCGTGAGTTTGTGTCCTGACTTTAGGGATGACCAGGAGACGCCTGCCAGAGGAGCACAGAGGCCGCGAGGGTTCATATTGTAAAAGCAATTCTGATAGATAAGAAGGCTCAAGACCGTTAAGACACTTAAAAACCATTAGAAGAACCTTAAAATGGATCCTGAAACATACGGGGAGCCAATGCAATGATTCTAAAACCGGTGTCATGTGCTCCCGCCTCCTGGTCTTCATCAGGACACGTGCTGCCGAATTTTGTAAAATTTGTAAGCCTGAGATGCTCTTTTTGGGAAGACCAGAAAGCAGGGCATTGCAGTAGTCTATCCTACTGGTGATAAAAGCATGCATCAGCGTCTCCGTATTGGCCCGAGAGAGAATGGGGCGGACTCTGGCGATGTTCTTTAGATGATAAAAACCTAGTTTTGTGATATTTTTAATGTGTGGGATAAAAGTCAGCTCAGAGTCAAAAATCACACCCAGGTTCTTCACTTGTTCAGATGGATTAAAAGACAGAGATTGTAATTTCGGTAAAAGCTTCTCTCTCTGGGCCTCAGGACCAATGACTAAAACTTGGCTCTCATTTGTAACTGAATCCACAATCTGAACAGCTGATGGATTCAGAAACTCCTCAGGAAACATAGAAAACAAAGATTACACTTAAATATTTTCTGTCTCCACCAGTTGATAAACAGCAGAGCGACCCAGTACCAAACATACCAGCTACATCACTGATGCAATGTCCTCATCAGCACCAGATCTATTTTCATCCATTTATCCGGGGTCAGGTTGCAGCAGCCTAAGCTGCGAGGCCCAGACTTCCCTCTTCCCAGCCACTTGGGCCAGCTCCTCCGGGTAAATTCCAAGGCGTTCCCTGGCCAGCTGAGACAGTCCCTCCAGCGTGTCCTGGGTCTTTAGGTCTCCTGGTTGGACGTGCTCAGAAAACCTCACCAGGGAGGTGTCCTAATCAGATACCCGTTTGAGCCGCCTCCACTGGCTCTTGATGTGGAGGAGCAGCAGGTCTACTGTGAGGCCCTCCCGGATAGCCAAGACTCTAATCCTAACTTCATCCCAGGAACCCTGTGGAGAAAAGTAATTTAAGCCACTTGTATCCATGATCTCGTTCTTTCAGCCACTACCCAAAGCTTGTGACCATAGGGGATGATTCCGGCTGTCTTCACAACAGACCGGTACAACACCTGCAGCACCAATCCGCCTGTTGAACTCGCACTCCTCCTTTCCCTCCATCGTGAACAAGACCCTGAAATACTCAGTCCTCCACTTGAGGCAGGACCTCATCCCTGACCTAGAGAAGACATTCTACCTTTTTGTGACTTAGGACCATGGTTTTGGATGTAACATGATGAAGGAGCTGTTTCCACCAAGGTTATTTAACCTCTTTCCACAGTTGCCTCTGACACAGTGCTCTAGTGCAGGAGACAGCCTCAAGGTCATGCATTTGCTTCTAAACTGTTTACTTTCCAGCAAAAGTAGAAAGATTAAAAGACTTTTATTAAATCAAAGAACTCTATTTTTAATAAAGCTAATCAAAACAACTGTTAGTCAATAATACAATGTGACCAATCTGTGAAATCACGATGTTATGATTAATATGTTTTAATAAGTGAATGACTTAATCTAGTTCACTAGACACACTGATACACGTAAGGTAAACAATCGCATGACACATTGCTGTTGCTGATCCAATCAGAACCTTCCTAGTCTGAAGCGTGGCATAGTCTCTGTGGTGTTTACTAATCTGCCCGCTTTGATTCGACCAGAATTCAAAACATACAGATTAATAAAACTAGTTCCAACTCCATCTTAGTTCAGTTCTCAAGATCTCACGGAGTTCACCGCATGCTAAGCGGAGTATCGGACCGGCCGTCTGTACTTTTTAAGCTGAAAACCACCAAGCTGGAAAAATCTGTTGTTTTTACCAATCAGGCAACGGTTCCTTTCAGAATAAAAGCTGAACTCGCTGACCCAAGGTGGGTCCCTTTTTGACGCTGTGAACCACTTTTTACCTGGAGACAATCCAAGGACTAGTCTGTCGTGCTGACGCTGTACTACTGGCTCCAGTACAGAAAGGAGGGTCCATGGACCTGACATTCTGGATCCGTGACGGAGGTCTCATTCTAAGGGTAGATGTGGATGCGACAATATGGCATCTCATGTGTTTATGACTACTCCGGTCAAGTCTGATCATAGTTAGAAGCAAAACATCATCTCCCACTCAGACTTGCCTCTCCGGATACGAGAGTTCTGAATAACACTCATTCACACACACCATCCATCTCACACCTCATTCAAACAGAACATCCATCATTAGTAGTTAGTCTTGTTAAATTGTTTAAAATTATTTCGTAATAAATCATCTTAAACGTTTGAAGGACTCTCTCTCTCCTCTTTGTCTCTCAGTTAATACAGTGTTATCTAATCCCTGCATAAAAAAGTTCCAATCTTCTCATCAAATAACCCAGGGGTCCGTAAAATGGATTTCATACTCGATATGCAATCTTAATGTCTTACGGTCCTTAATTAAATGTAAATTAACTTCATTACATGGAGAAGCTGATTCTCATCACAGCTGTTTCAAACTTGACTGCAAACTGCTCTTGCAAAGATCAGCCGGTTGAAGCCAACACGACCACATTGGCTTCAAAAAGCAGAGACTTAATCCCCTCAACACCTAGGTTGTGTCTAGAAAAGTAATGAACTGAATTGGTGACAAATGGCAGGCCTGGCAGTGTCCAACTTACTGCCGGCATCGTGGCCCAAGCTCTGGCAGCGGTCATAGAGAGACAAAATTGTTTCCAAGAGATGGTTCAGAATTGACTGAATGTGTTACGAATATAGTTTTATGGAAAGAGGAGACGCTAGTTTGTATCTTTAAGGCTCTAATTAAAAACCTGTTATAAATCATTCACTCCAAAATGTAGATCAGCTTGAGAAAGATGTCCGAAAGTTTTTGACCTCAAAACAAAAAGTACCAGTTGAGAAAAGAAAAGCTCAAGTATCTTCACCAGCAGGAGTTGTGAGGGACAGCCCTGAGAGAAACGCAGTCCTCTAAAGAGCTGAAGCTACAGTTTCCTCCTGTGATGGAGAGATTTTTGTCTGCTGGATTGAGAGAAGAGGATTATACGTTTTTTATAGAACCACGTTGTTGAGCCAGATTAGATCCTGGTTCTGATCATTTAAATGACAAAAACTGTTTGTAAAAAACATTTTATTAGGAAAGTTCAGAAGCTGAGTGAGAAGGTTCTGTAGGACAGGTTGGTGAACACGTCAATGTGGCTGCTGCTACCTCCCACCGTCAGCACCTGAAACACAAACACCTTCACCAGGTGCTCCTCACACCGGTTAGGAACCTGCTGTGCTACGTTCAGGGACTCACCCGGTGCTCTGAGCTGTTGTTCAGCTGCAGAGTGTTGAGACTTGAGGGTGTGCATGGGATCTGAGCTTTGACATCTCCACCCAGAAGACAATGAGACACAAATGCACCCTGCCCCACTGCCAGGATCTACACAACAGACACAGACATATTGTTGTTTGTCCTCCACTCTGAGTGAAGTGGGCCATTGTGTCTCACCATGTCCTGGTGGAAAGCTGCCTGGCGCTGGCAGCCGCTCAGGGGAAACACGGATGTTGGGGACAGAGAGCGGAGGTGCCACAGAGACATTGACGGACCTCCTCCACACACCTGCAGGGACACAAAAACAACTCATGTGTGTAAAACTGTCCTCCCAGGTGAGACCTGCAGCTGTTAATGCGCGGTACCACACAGTCCTGATCAGCTGAAGCTGCTGTTTTCTTACCATCCAGTCAGAGTCTGTGGTCACACAGCTGATCCATTTACCGTACTGAGGCCGTACGCAGCTCTGAAACACACACACACACACACACACACACACACTCAGCATATTCTCACAATGTGGTGATCCTTGCTGACTGGCATGTAGCTCTCACCTCGTACTTGTAGACTTCAATGCAGTGAACGCACTGGCCCGTCCTGGTGTCTGAACAACAACAACATCATCACCATCACCTGCTGAGGAAGGCCTACCCAGCTGCTGTAACTCACCCCACATCCTCACAGATCCATCCTCGCTGCCGGACAGAAGCTCGGACTCCCGCTCACGCACACACACACAGTGCACATAGTCTGTGTGACCCTGAAGGGCTGCCTGCACACATAGGCCAGACATGTTTGTGTGAGGTTAGTTTAGTGGCGATTTTCCTGAGGGTTTTAAATCCTTGGGTCCCTGCTGCACTCAAGTGATATCTTGTACGCAGGCAAAAAAAAGTCCCATGTCCAAACAATCTTAACTGATGAATATTTTTGGTGTTTATTCATCCAACTTGTCAAGTATGATGCACATCTTCATTTCCTGCCGCTTCTCCTGCTCTGGTAAAAAAAACTATAGGCCTACCCCAGTGCATGCTGGTCTAACACCAGTCCCCATATTTATTGTTCCTGGCTGATTCTCACAGGCAAAACTAAAATAAATAAATTAAATCATCATTAACCAACAACTAAACCCAATAAATAACCCAACAACTGTAAGTACAGTGATCCCTCGCTACTTTGCGGTTCGTTTATTGCGGATTCACGACTTCGCGGATTTTTTCTTTGGAGACTTATTCAAGGGAAATTCGCCGATTCGCGGTATTTTTCTATGCGAAATATCAAGAAATTCCAGTTTTTTTCATCATAAAATGCACTTTTTGTAATAAAACTATAAAAAAAACAAGTAAAAAAAAATTTTTTTCTTGAGTTTTACCCACAAAAAGAGAATGTGATCATACGATAATTCAATATAGTACTGTATATCAGACTGGTCGGCTGGATTCGGGAGTTGAGCTTGTAGGGAGCGTGGTTTCACAGACACGGAAGAGATAGCGTCGGTGAAACGCCGGCTCACGATTAATCTAGGAAACCCCCGAGCGTTCGAGCATCAACGAAGTGACAAGGAAATGCCGGGCTTTCCAGAAGTAAGTAAGATAACTTACTATGAGCTGATAGTTCGTGGGATGGATCAGTAGGTTGGAAACTCTGATCATGAATATGAAGAAACGATGACTGAGTGGTGAGCTGGAAAGGCGACTTCCGATTATAGCCGCGGTTTGTGACGTAGATGCGACGTGGAGGGAATCCCCGCGAGGGGCATGCTGGGAGTTTTGGTCCATAGTGGAGGCCGGCTAGCTGGAAGAGGCTGGCCTGGGAACTTGGGTTCTGACACTGTACTGTAAATATGGTGTCCCTACTTCGCAGATTTTCACCTATTGCGGCCAGGTCTGGAACGCATCTACCGCGATAAACGAGGGATCACTGTAACCCAAATAGCGCCAACAGTTAGTTTAGGCAAAGTAAAATGATTTCTGTGACGTCGGGAGTTTCCTTTAGCATTGATGCTGTTTCATTAGTCAAAGACAATAAGCAGAGAAGCTGATGCACCTTAAAGTCTCCATGTTCCAGGTCCAGGATGTGGACGTTGTTGTCTCCAGCTCCAATCACCAGACTGTTGTCCTGAAACACACACAGGCCAGATGTTTCCATATCAGATCCTCTTCAGTCAGTTCTTAAACTCTGTTTTGTTGAGCAGGTGTGTGTGTGTGTGTGTGTGCGCGCGCGCACTCACTCACTTGGGTGTTGATGACCATGGAGTTAATCTCTGGGATCTCCAGACTTGATCTGCCAAAAGACCAGAAGAGGCATTAGTACGTGACCTTCAGGTTGGACGGGAGGCAGGAGAGATGTCCTCACCTATAGTTGGGCCTCTTCGTCCAAAGACATTTCACATTCTGAGGACATCAAGTTCACAACATTTCACAAGTGAAGCTGTGCTGCTGTACAGGTTATCTACCAGATGTAGCGTTACCTTCTTGATGAGTTCAGTCCAGCTCCAGGCACTGATCTCTCCATTTCCAGCACTCAGCAGGACACAGTCTGTGGACAGAAGACTGAAAACTGCACCTTCATGAGCTGCAGCATAAGAGACAAAAACTCAAATCAGATGAAGATTAAAGGACCTCAAATCAAAAACACACCTAACACTAGTTTGGATTTGTTAGAAACTGTCTCATTTAATCTGAAACCACCTAAAAATTAAAGTAAAAAGTAGAAGGATGGCATTCATGCTTTTCACATTAAAACACGGCTGAACACACCAGAAGTCTAAGAATAAAATGTCTTAATAGGCTGAGGAGGCTTTTAATTTGAAGTTTTAGCATTTCACAATGTGGAATGTGTGCCTTTTTCTGTTGAAAAATTAAGTTTTAGTATTAAAATTAATAGTTTAACATCATAAAAAGTCTTGCTGAGAATGAGTGAGTGATTAAAAATTCATTTTATGGAAAAAAAAACATTAAGCTGCAGTGCAACATTTAAAACTTAAAAATAAGTAAACTGTAAAGTCTGACAGGAGCTTTAAATGCTTATTGGACACAGGTAAACGAAACACCACAGCCTGTGGCGGTTTTACCATTAGGCATAGGTCGGCGGCCGCCTGGGGCCCCCTTATGATGGGGGGCCCCCTAGCCCTGACTGCTGGCACCCCTCCGTTAATGCCACAATGGACTATTCCTTAAAGACGCCGGCGCACAAACAGGAAGTGACTGGTAGTCATTCCACTCCAATCCAGTTGGTGGCGGTAATGCACCAAATTGTTGTTTGCCAAGTGCCATAAGACCACAAATAAGAAGAAGAAGAGAGGCGGGAGCGTTCGCAACAAATTCTAAGCGATAGTCAAAACATGAAGCATGAAATGGAGTTATCCTAGTGGCTCCAATAAGAGAAAGATGCTGCTTGCTTTAAAAAAGCTTTTGTCTTCACTTCCATAAGTGACGTTGTTTTTCAATGTAAACATCAAAAGGAAGCAGAAAAGGAAAGAAAATCGGAAATGTTTAAAGGGAGGAAAACAGACCAAAATGGAAAAAATAGAAGAAAAAAAAGAAAGGACACAGGAGCACTGACAGGAAGAAGAAAGCACTCATAGGGAGAGAAAGACAGGAAAAAAGAGGAGGACTAATAAAAAGTGAAAATAACTCATGTCAGAAGAGGGAAGTTTCACAAATCCAGTTAAAGATAAGATTGTCGAAAATTTAGGGGGCCTCATGTCTGTGTTCGCCTTGGGCCCCCGTCGTCTTCCTCCGCTTATCCGGGTCGCGGGGGCAGCATCCCAACTAGGGAGCTCCAGACCGTCCTCTCCCCGGCCACCTCCACCAGCTCCTCCGGCAGGACCCCAAGGCGTTCCCGGACCAGATTGGAGATGTAACCTCTCCAACGTGTCCTGAGTCGACCCGGGGGCCTCCTGCCGGCAGGACATGCCCGAAACACCTCCCCAGGGAGGCGTCCAGGAGGCATCCTGACCAGATGCCCAAACCACCTCAACTGACTCCTTTCGATCAGGAGGAGCAGCGGTTCTACTCTGAGTCCCTCCCGAATGTCCGAGCTCTTCACCCTATCTCGAAGGCTGAGCCCGGCCACCCTACGGAGGAAACTCATTTCGGCCGCTTGTATCCGCGATCTCGTTCTTTCAGTCATTACCCAAAGCTCATGACCAAAGGTGAGGACTGGGACGTAGATCGACCGGTAAATCGAGAGCCTGGCTTTCTGGCTCAGCTCCCTCTTCACCACGACAGATCGGCTCAGCGTCTGCAGTTATGCACACACTCGGCCGCGAACCTACCCAGCAAGAGCTGAAGGTCAGAGCTGGATGAAGCTAGGAGGACCACATCATCCGCAAAAAGCAGAGACGAGATTCTCCTGCCACCAAACTCGACACACTCCACACCACAGCTGCGCCTAGAAATTCGGTCCATAAAGGTAATGAACAGAACCGGTGACAGCTCCTCCTCTATCTGAGATTCAACTATCGATCGGAGCCTCCTCTCCAGTACCTTGGAGTAGAACTTTCCAGGGAGGCTGAGGAGTGTGATCCCCCTATAGTTGGAACACACCCTCAGGTCACCCTTCGTAAAGATGGCAACCACCACCCCGGTCTGCCACTCCACAGGAACTGCCCCCGGTGACCACGCAGTGTTGCAGAGGCATGTCAACCACGACAGCCCTACAACATCCATAGCCTTGAGATACCCATGATGAACCTCATCCGCCCCCGGGGCTCCGCTGCTGTGTAGTTGTTTGACTACCTCAGCAACTACTGCCCCTGAGATTGGACAGTCCATCTCCAGGTCTCCTGGCTCTGGTTACTCATCGGAATGCGCATAGGTGGGATTGAGGAGCTTCTCTGAGGACTCACCTGTAAACGTCAGAACAGGCTTCTGGCTAGCGGTGGTGGCTTCTGGACTTAGAGCTGCAGCCAAGCTGAAACAAAAAACGGCAGGTGTGAACCTCAGACTGGTGAAAGGCGAGACCAGTTTCGCTGGTTTGTCCCACCTGAACAAGGCGATCTCTCCGTAGTTGTTTCCGGCCGCCAGGAAGCGTCCGCAGGGAGAAAAGCTCTGGGAGAAAACCGACATGTGGAGGAGCTGCGGACATGAAGAGATCGAGTTAATCCTTATTTAAACAACATCAGACACACATGAACGATCATATCGGCTGTTTTCAGATCCGCGTCGGGAGCATCGACATGGTCGGGAGGATGTGTGCGGGTTTTATGGCTGTTTCCAAGGGCGCATGCTCATTGGTGGGAACATGTCACGTGACACGGAGAAACCAAGCCCGGAAAATGTGTCTTCCTGAAACGGATTATCAAATCAGTTCAAACTACCTTAAAAACAGACTCTAACATCAGGTTGAACCTGGTTACAATAATATCTGTAACACTTTCAGATTTATAAATGTTTAATGATATCAGAGAACATCGTTATTTTGAAAGCTTGAATGTTTCTTCCTAAATAATAAAATCTCCGCCAGCAAAGAAATAAGTTAAAACCTGTACAAATCATACCTCATATATGTTTGTTTGCCTAGTAAACAGTTTAATGAGATTTTAACAATAATACGAAGAAGAGAAACACTGAACAGGGCTGCAGCTGGTTTTTAAAACATTTACTCTTCGTCAGAAGCGTGTGCGCGATAGCTATAATAACATTTACCTCTACGGGTCCCATTCTGCCTCAAAATCCTCCCGGTTCCGTTAAAGTCGCGGAGAAACAAGGGACAATGGAGCCAGCGCGGGAGAAACCATCGACATAAATATGAAACGAATCGGGTGACGGAGAAAGACGCATAGATATGACGTATGATCAAGCAAAGGATTGTGGGAGATGTAGTAAAGAGAGGGCTTGTTTCTGACATATCAGAATCGATCAGAATCAGATTTATTGGCCAAGTTAAGTTGCATTTACAAGGACTTTGGCTTCGGTAGATGTTAGCTGTCTAAACATACATCAAATAAATGATAATGCATTCAATTATCAGGGAAGAAGCACTTATTCAAAAGTAAAAAATAAATCAGGAATTAAATCTCGAACAAAGAAATACTTCCAAGTTCAGAAGAACCCTGTCATCAGGGTGCACGGGTGTGACAGCCAGTTGCAGAATGTTGAAAGAGACAGGTGTGTGATCATCATACAGAACAAAAATATGTGAGAGATAATGCATGGCATGGCAAAGCCCACAACGTGACTCAAATGAAAAACACAAGTTTACTGCATGCACATTTCTACTGAATATTCACAAGCAAATTAAGTCCAAATATTCTATTTCGTCCTTATCTAAAATTTAATTTGTCCTCAGTTTGTTTTCCAGCTTGAGTTTTTTGTGTCCAGCAACCTGTGTGGTCTTATAGATCATAATAGACTAGTAGATGACACTAACATGGAAATTGAACTAGATATTCTGTATTAACAAGTTTAATCATGTAAAATGAGAACAAATAAATAAAAATTTCTCCAACAGGTAGATCTGGTGCTGTCTCTCACGCTCCATAAGGGAGTGCTTAACTAGAAGCACATCAGTCCTGTAACTGTTGCCGTTTAATCTGTTACTAATAAATATTAGTAATAGAATAGTAATAAATTAGATTAGTAATAAATATTGTGATGTGCTCTTTTTGTTATCCACTGCCCATATTGTCTATAATGCTTTTATGTGACCTGCCTAGGGATTGAGGATTCACTTTAGCATTCCTATAGCCTAGTGAACTAGACCAAATTCTTGCTTTGCAAAGTTTGGTCTAGCAACGCTCCACTGCAACCTCTGCAGCCCCAACAGCATTCTGGCTGGCCAATCACAGCTCTCTAGAGGGGTTTCAAACACATAAAGAGCTGTGATTGGTCCATAATGGTGAGCCATAGTGCTCTATCTGCTTAGTGAACAAATCACAGAGCTATATCCGCTTTGTGGGCCAATCAGGGCACTCTATATGCCTGGTGGGTGGGACGATGCAACAGAGTGAAACATGAGTATGTCACATTCATTGTCCAGTAGGCAACGGTAGAACCCGCCCCACAACCGCGAGCCGTCAATGGAGCGTTGCCAGACTAAATAATACATTTATTTAGTCTGGCTTGCCAGGCTATTATTCCTACTATAATCTGGCATTTTAATGTCTGTTGATGTTTGAATAGTTGTTCATTAATGTGCACTGTCCACACACTGTAAAATATTAACATGCTATCCCTCATGAAATAACCATCAACAGTACTTTAGAATTCAGCCTGACGAGGGTGATGCACCGTTAGAGGGAATCAGACAGAATACTCACAAAACTTTGTTGACAGATGTTGTTCAGCAGCAAAAGCAGCTTTAAATAGAGCAGGGTCCCAGAGAGCCGCTGTCCAGCATGTTTTAGTTGTTTCCCTGCTTCAGCATAGTTGATTCACCTGTTCAGCAGTTCATCGGGCTCTGTACAAGCCTATTAATCACCTGCTGGTTAAAATCAGGTGTGTTGAATCAGGGAAACTTCTAAAACATGCTGGATAGCAGTTCTCTATGACTAGTTTTCTATCCCTGAAATACAAGAACAAATTCTTTATATTGCACCTTCTCAAGATAAAAGTCACGGGGTGCTTCACAAGAACAACAAAAATACAAATTATTATTTAAAAAAGTCATAATAAAAATGAGAATAAAAGACTAAACAAGGAACCCAGAAAAGTGCAAAATTGATAGAAACATTAGCATGAGAGGAAGTCAGTGAGGACGAACAGAAAGCCACACCAAATCCAGCTTGAACAGGTAAGTGTTCAGCTGCTTTTTAAAGGAGACCACTGAGTCCACTGATCTCAGGCTCAGGGGGAGAGAGTTCCAGAGTCTGGGGGCCACAGCAGCAGATGATCTGTCACCTCTGGTCTTTAGCCTGGTGCTCTGCAGTACATGTGTGGCAAGGTAGGGAAACAAGGACCCCGGCGGGATTTGATCCCCAGACTCCCAGGTAAGAGTCATGCGCGCTAACCAGTCAGCCAAAGGGACATCCCTTTGGCCAAGTAGCCAATGTGCATGATCAATTAGGTTACAGTAACACACCCTGTCACATGCAGTAAGTTAGGCAAGGCAAGGCTGCTTTGTTTGTATAGCACCTTACAACGGTATGAAACTGACCAAAGTGCTGCACAGACATTAAAAACATTAAAAACAATACACTACACAAGAATGCTTACAAGCTAAAGTTTAAGAACGAACACTAAAAAGACTCATGCTGAGTTAAAAGTCAAATCCTAAAAACAGGTTTTCAAAAGACATTTAAAACCAGGCAGTAAAGAGGCCGACCTAATACTCAAAGGCAGTTATGGAGCTAGGATTGGGACAATATTCAATGTAACTTGTACCAAGTTTTGTAACTTGGAACATGTTTCATGACATGTAACTGGATTCATAACTTGTAACTTTAGTTTTCTAACTTGTAATTCTCAATTCGTACTTGTATTCTTGTTTTGTAACAGGAACATTGTATTTTGTTCATGTATTTTTTATTTTGTGAAATCTAACTTTTATTTTGTACATTTACTTCTCATTTTGTAACATCAAACATTCATTCAGAAACATGAAACTTTCAGTTTTTACCTAGCAGACTTCCAAAATAAAAAAAAATCAATGTACAAGTTTGAAATCAAAACTCTCAAAACACACATTTCATTCTACAGGTACAAACCTCAAATCTACAGTGTTACAAATAATTTTGTCTCAATTCTAACTTCGGTGGGATGAACTTGGCTGGAACCAATGAGAGCACGAGTCTTAGCTACCAATCACGTTTCTCGAATTCTTGTCCAATCTCTGGGAGAGGAGGGCAGGGTTCTGTCAGAGCTGTAGAGAAAAACTGAAAGTTTCATGTTTCTGAATGAATGTTTGATGATACAAAATGAGAAGTAAATGTACAAAATAAAAGTTTGATTTTACAAAATAAAAAATACATGTACAAAATGAAATTTTCCTGTTACAAAACAAGAAATACAAGTACAAATTGAGAATTACAAGTTAGAAAACTAAAGTTACAAGTTACGAATCCAGTTACATGTCATGAAACATGTTCCAAGTTACAAAACTTGGTACAAGTTACATTGAATATTGTCCCAATCCTAGCTCCATACACCTTGTACTGGATTCTAAAACAAACAGGCAGCCAGTGCAGTGAGGCCAGGACAAGAGTAACATGCTCCATCTTTTTCATCCCAGTGAGCAGCCGTGCAGCAGCATTCTGCACCAACTGTGGACGTGAGAGGTGGGATTGTGAGAGAAAAATCATTAGGATCAGCACTATTGTCATCAACTGAAACCCACTTGTCTGCACATGTATTATAAACTGTACAGCTCTCCTTTTAGTTTTTGTGGAAATAATACTGTAACGTGAGGAAGTGTGGGTTTTCTGTCACAAAGGTGGTGTTGGACTCAGCTGGGTCAAAGCTGGGTCGTTGAGAACTTTCACCCACAGATTAAGACCTGAACGCCAGCGAGTCTGGGAGGAAACCATAACATCGGCCACCTGCAGCTTCGTGCCAGAAGATGTTGTTCCCACAGAAGATGTTGTTCCCATAAATGTAGTCATAACAAGTCTTAAAACTTTCTTTTCTTGATTTTAATGTTAAAGTAACCATTATCATTTTGCTCATTATAAATGTGTTTTAATCAAATGAATGATTCTTATGCTTTGGGTAATTATAATGGATTAATGAATCCATTCTTAAATAATGTTTGAGGATGTTTGTTGGCGACCTTCACACACACTCAAGCACACACCCACTCAAACACACCCACACACAGATTCTCACAGAAAACTCCAAAACACATTTGCTGACGCACACGTTTGCTTTGAGAAGAGAAAGGCTTTTGGTAAGTTTCAGTCTTATGATTTCAGTTCGTGCTTGACAACGAAAGAGAGAGGACCTGAAGAAACCGAAGGGGGGCAGAGCCGGTTGGCTCGTTTCTCCCCCCCCCACGCTGTTCCTGTCAGCCAGGCAGAATAGCTGAATCGCAACTTCTAACGCAGACTCATACAGAGTCTTTGATTTCTGAGTGAATTAACTTAAGAAAGCGCATCGACAAAACGCTTTTCCATCGACGTGTACCGAGGGCAACTCTGGACCGGTTCCGTTCGACACCTACGTCTCCCCTGTCAGCCGCTGGTGTCATCTGGATGAACCATCACCATCCTCCATGGCCCGGATCCGAAAGAGGGTCCACAAGAGTTCGGTGAGACAGAGCAAGGTGTTTAGCGTTTGATGCGGTTCTCTGATAAGACCTAAGTTTATCCAAACCATCACTTCACTCAGACACCTGTTCTTCCTGAAGCAAAATCAGACTCACCCACGCATTCATATCACAACATTCTCAATCTTCATAAATTCACCACAAGGTCTATTTGATCATATCAACTGTTAAAGATTGTCCCACAAGTTGCCAATGTTGATTGTTATTCCCATGTTTGTCAATTTCAAAATCATTAGTTTAATTTGAAGAATTAAAACTTTTAATTGTCAAACTGGTTTCCTCATTGAACTGAAACACAGAAACACAGATATTATCGTCAGTTTATCGATGAAAACAACCTTTGAGTCTTCTTAACAATATAAAATTTGGTTATTGATTTATTAAAAATTAATATTCCGAATTAATACGTAGCATGGTTCCTCTTTCATAAAAGAGCCTAAAACCACAACGATACAATATGGCTGAGCAAGCCAGTTTCTCCTACAATACTGTAGGAAGGTTTTCACAACCTTTTGTTGAAGATTCAAATAAGGTCTTCATGGTCCTCTTCAGATAAGACATGAGAAGGTAAGGAACTTACAAAGATTGATCTGTAGAAGTCTGTGGGCTTGAAAGAGAGGAGAAATGAATAAGGCACTGACTGGACTCCTAAGTCCAGGGTTGTGGATTCAAGTCCCATTGTGTATGAAACTTTTTAGGGTGGCTGTGACTTAATGGGGAAGACTGGTTGTCCACCAATCAGAAGGTGAGCGACTCAGTTCCAAGCCCCAAATGGCGACATGTACTAATCTTGAGCTCTGGATTTAGCCTCCCAGTTGTCATACTAATGGGAGGCCACTGCTCCGCAGGGAGGGGTCAGCTGTAGAGAGATAACTTACCTCAAGTGGAGTAATAAAGTATCACTTATTATTTTAATTTGCAGGAAAAACATCTAAGATCAATCTGTTTAACCAGTGGGAGTTTCAGTCAGGTGACATTCAGCAGAGACTCGTGGAATTTGTCATCATTTAAAACAAATTATGACGTTTCTGAAACGGATAGCTGCTCACCTAAACAGTTAAGTCTTTTGGTATTAGTTGTTTCTCCTGCTTTGTGAATGTTTGTTGTTGTCATCATTTGGTGGATGATGGTGAAGTGGGCCTCCATCTTGGAACTACCCCCCCCCCCCCCCCCCAAAAAAAAAATTCCACTGCAGAGACCATAGATAGTTCCTTCGTATTGGACTGAGACAGCCAAGAGGTAAACAGACCGTAGGTCATTCATCCTCTCTGCAGTAAGAGTGTATAACGCCTCCATTTAACTGGTACTGGCATTATCCTGGTACACAGTAACATAAATATTCAGTATGTGTTAAATACTTGTGCAGTACCAGATGTACATTAATGTATCTGTGTCCCGTATGCGGCATTTTTCTGGAAACCCAAGTTTCTATTTTTATTTGTTGTTTTTAGTGATTGAAAGTTACAATAATAGTTTACCCGTACTTTGTTGTCACTGTTTTCCCTTTTCTCTAAGTGTATGTGCTGCAGTAATGAGTGTGGGATTAATAGTCTATTTTATTTGGTGGATCCAATCTTTGCTGCCTTTTGTTGTTGCTATGTTGTGTTTGTTTTGCATTAAGTTGCTTTTTACAGATAATGCGTGACTAATTAAACTGTGTTCATTTGTGTATTATTGTGGTTTTATGTGGATATTGATTTGAATAGCTTTGCTGTGTGCTGTTATTGTTGCTGGGATGTATTTGTGTGTTTATCTGATGGTTATGTCTGTGTATCTTTATAATCAACTCTCTCTCACAACACATCCTATCTGGAACATGTTGAACCCATGAACACAGGCTCGTTTGTCGCAGGGGCCCTCCAATTTTCGTTTCTACCGGTCTCAAGTGGTCTAGGTAGGACGGCGCAACAGCAGTTGAGTTCGGGATGTCATCAAAGCCTGCTCCTGAAGCGGCAGACTGCTGCTTTGCGTCGCCCGCGGTGGGATTGAGCGAGTGAAGCGCGTTTCGCCGCGCCGTTTGGCTAGCAGCGGTAGCTGCAGGAAGTGTCAACTGGGGGGGGGGGGGAGCCGAGAACCAAAAGTCGGTGGTTCAGCAGGAGCTGAAAATAACCATGTCTAATCGGTGAAAGGTGCACACCCTGCTCGTCCACATCGTGCATCTTTACCCGTATGGGCGCAGTGGCCAAATAAGGGGTAAGTCTGGGTCAGCAAACGGATCCGAATAGAGGTTTATTTCTTCAAAAGGGGCCGCGGTGTTAGTGAGATCTTTGTGTAGCTCCGGGCTAGCTGCCATGCTAAACTGCTGCAGCGGCGACGCCGTTTACGGTCTGGATGTGGGTTTAGATACAGAAAGCAGCTTCCCCCTGTGTCCGTAGCTCGGAGTTGTGGCTCGTTGTGTGTTTTGGTTGTGATTTGGTATTTTTGAACTTCCGTTTTCCTGCCGTTCTGTCATGGCGGGAGAGGGGGTGGTTGCTAACCGAGTAGCCAGGCGCTAAAACTGCTGTTAGCTCGACTGAACATCAGCCTCCTTTTACCGCGTAAAGCCTGTTATTATTAGATAGAGGTCCTCCGGTGTTATGCATCAACACGTTCTTTTCAGTAAAGCATGTTCGGTTTTCGATGTGAACGTATTAGTGTAGAGGAGCGTGTTTGTGGGGGTAAAAGTGAGCTAATGGGGCTAGCTCGATTAAAATGGCTCTGCTGAAAGCCATTTTCAGATGTTGGGGGGTCTCAGTGAAAGCAGGCAGAGGAGGTCCTGCATCATGTCGGTTCTGCAGCCAGACCCGCTTCCCCCTCCCTCCCCGTCCGGACTGGCGGCGCTATGCTCCGGTCAAGGTGGGGGACTCCTGGGCAGTAAATGGCCGAGCCATGGCGTTTGGCATGCCCCGCTTTGTCTCTACGAATTATGTCAAAGCTGAACCGAACTAGGGGAACGGGCCAAGGTCAGGCCGCCGAGTCCAGTCCGGTGTGGACGGGAACACCTCAGGTGTTGAGTCAGAGCTTTAGCTGCACGTTAGAAACTGTTCAGAACGAGTTCTGTACATGCGAATGGACTTTGGTTATTCCAGTTACGGGTTCGTGGTCTGGGGAAGCGGATCACCGACTGTTGTGGGTGACATCTACGTTTCTTGTCCGGTTTGTTTACATGAGCGGAGGAAAAGTTGTGATTGGCTGCAGCTCAGTTTCACATTCGTTTGACTAATCAGTGGAAACCAGAACACGGCTCACCTAAAAAGCTGTTGGTTCCGACAAATCGAGAAATGGTATCGAAGTCGGTTTACGGACAGGGCTTTAGTATCAGAACTTTGGAGGTTCATTAGATACTCAACGGGAGATCAAATCTCCCATTTTCAAACACAAAACTTTATAAAAAAGCTGCAAATGTTTTTATCATGTTTTTGTTGCTTTTGCCATGTCACACTAGACCAGGGGTCACCAACCTGGTGCCCCCAGGAATCACATAAGGTTCCCACAATCCATTTCTCCAAATAGCACAAATCTAAATGGATCTGCAGGCATCTTTAGAATCACAAATGCAATAATATAGAATTTGAAACAAATAAATACTTAAACAAAACATATTTATTATGCATGAAGTTTAGTTTACCTCTGATCCATTCTAGTTTAAAGGTCACTGTTGTGTCAACTTGCACTAGACTAACCTGAGATCTGCTCTGGAAAATCGAGACTAAAGACCTGGGGTCTCATTTATAAAACATGGCGTAGAATCCTTACTAAAACCGTACTTAAGCTCAGCAAAAAAATGTACTTACGCCAAGCAGGTTTGGGACCTATCAAACATGGAGGACGCACCGCTGCACGCAACCTCCGCTTCATAAATCAGAGACTAACGAGAATGTTTCTCAGCTGCTTTTTAGTCACATCCCGCTCTCACCACGCCTACTTTCTGCCATAAATAGTCGATGCAAAGTGCCTTGTGGACCTCATTCATATACATAAACTGGCTTGTTGCAGCGTTTCGATCATGACCGCAGATCAAGGAAGCGCAATTTCACAAGCAGAAATTGAGGTACCTGTGGGTGAGGTGGACAAATGAAAGGAAGTGCTTTTGCAAAACAAATAAGAGAAAATCCACAAAGTGGCACCGCAGTGCTGAAGCCGTCAATGCTGTGAGTTCTTCAGAGAGGTCTGTGGCGGATATAAGAACAATGGTCCGATCGGGATTTGATCCAGACTCCCGGGTGAGAGTCACGCATGCTAACCAGGCAAATGGAGGTCTCCCTTGACCAAGTAGCCAGGGCGTATCATCAATCGGGTCAAAGAGACCGGACGCACACTGTCACAGATGCATGACATTCTGTCTCAATCGGCCCCCTGCTGATATTCAGCATTCCGTATTCTGCACTTTGGGCTGTGTGTGTGTGTGTGTGCACGCATGCGTGTGTGTGTGTGCACGCATGCGTGTGTGCGTGTGGGGGTTCTGTGTGAAAACGAAGCGGTACAAGTGATAATGCTGCTGGAATTCATAGTTGTATCCTTCTCAGCAGCAGCAGCACTGCAGGTGCTCTCCATGTCCAAAATGTGTGTACGCCAGGTCCTTAGTCAACTTAAAAGTTGTGCACATTTTCCTGCTACGTTTTCTTTAATAAATCCCAAAGTTTGCGTTGAAAGTTGCTTACGCAGTTTTCCGACCCCCGTTTTGTGCGTAAGCAACCTTTATAAACGAGGCCCTGGTTCTGTCACAATGACCAGAGTGAATACCGAATGTTCGAGTTTCTGCTGGTTTCTACCCATCTGGATGTTTTCTGTAAACTGATGCCTGTAGTTGACTGGAGCAGGAAATGGCTTGTTAGAAAACCCAATTAAACTAGAGATAAATAAGGTAGCTCAGGGGTTTTCCTGCGTTCAAATTAGCGTGGCGGCCGCCTCTGGCTATTTTTGTGTCGCCCCAGCTTGATTTCACCCTGCCCTCAGCTATATGGATGTTAGTTTATGGCGCCAGACCCGTGCCACAACCCGTG